CCAAGCTTTCGTCTTGAATTCAAGGGGGTGTGGTGGAGGGGGAGCCCCAAAATGTCGTCAAACTTGGTTAGGTTTCCAGGGCGCAGGGGTTTTGGGTGGTGTCCTGGTGGTTTCTGAGACTGGCCATTCGGGGACCGGACGCCTTCTGATGCTTGGGCGTTGTTTTGGGTCCAACTGCAGCCGCAACGGTTCGGCTAAGCTTGCATCTAAAATGACTTCACGTGCATGCTGCGTGCCTTCCCAGACTTCGAAGCTTTCGTCCCTGCCCTTTGAGGTCGTGGACCGCTTCCAGGTGGCGCGTTCAAACATGCGTGTGGTCAAGCACGCTTGCATTCCCTCGTAAGGGTGCCTATGACAACAATGTGCAACATCAATGGTGCAACGCAGTGCGTTCATCTCTGGAACATTGCAACCAGCAACCAGCATATATGTATATTCATCACAAAAGGGTGAGTCGATCAAGACGGGAATGGATCAATGAAATTGGAAGAAAGTTTTTGAGCTTTGGGAGGGTCGCCGAGAAGTAACCACACTTGTACAAAATACAACGGTCTGGCGTCAATTGGTGTGCGGGGCCATACGTGTCCACATGATGCATGGTGTATGCCTGATTCATAGCAGCCAACCTTCACTGAAGTCGTGTGATGCGATCCCACAGTGACGATGTGTCGGCCATTTTCAGCCACTGGGCCAAGCCAGAAAGTTGCAGAGGTCGCACAAGGGGTTCCAAAATAGCGGCTCCACGGATCCCGACCGTCGACACGGAGTACCTCCACAACAGCTACACACTCATGACAGACTCGCCCAGGTTGGCTGGGTCGAGCCACATGAAGTACCAGGTGGCCGTCCATCTTTGCTGGAGTGCTCTTGCGGGTAGCACGTACAACATGAAGTTTAGGAGTCAGGAGTGCATGCGAGCGGCAGACTGTTGAAACTTAACACGCCGCAACACGCCGATCTGTTTGATAGCGCACTTGTAGCACTCGGGCGCGCGCCGCAGCTCGAGTGCTCAAACCGCCTATTTCGTGCCCCTATTTGTTGTCCTAACCGTCTGAGCCGTGGCGGCCTCCGACAACCTTGCTGCTGCTGCTGCCTCTGACCTCCGCCGCCTTACGGCGCACGATGAGGCATTCTGCCGGGCGGCCTTCGCCCAGCTGGGCAAGGGAGCCTTCAAATGCCTCAGGCGGGCGGTCCAGCGTACCGACACCCCGCCTACCTCAGGCGATGAAGGCGGCAGCGGCCCTGCAGGGGCGAGCACTACGAGCACCTTCATCCACCACCTCGACCCGGCGGACAACATCGCCAATGCGCTTACCGTCCCCGAGGGGGCAAACATCAATAATCTCATCCTGGACACCGCGCAGGCTGAGATTTCCATCTCCGGCCCCATGTTTGGGGCGGCTCCTTCGCCCACCACGAGCTTGGGCACAAAAAACTTCGCGCGCGACCACTTCGTTGGAGAGGTACCTCCTCTCCACCAATGTGATCAATACCGCCCACATGGTGGGCGATACCACTGCGGATGCATCTACCTCGGCTCATACTGCAACGGTGGCCGCGAACGATACTACATCCGCTCCTCCGCCTTCGCCACGACCGCCGGCTACCACTGCAAGCGCGGCTACTACATTGGTGGCTGGCGATCAGCGAGCAGCCTGACCCGGAAGGGCCACCCACTCCGGGCGCCAAGATCGCGCCACAAGGGGCGGCCACCGAACCGGTGCTGCCCACGGCCACAGGCGCAACCGCCTCGGTTCGCCAAGTGGCGGGGCAATTTGATATTTTGGCGGCCTACCAGTGCCCGATGCCCAGCATCGAAGAAAGGAAGGCGCCACCGCCTTGCTTTTCAAAGGTGGCCCCACCCGTGGCGAAACCGTCCCGGACCCAGCTGCAGGAGGGCCTCCACTGCCTCTCTTGGGGTCGCAGCCTTCGCCCTGCAGAAGGCTGGCGGACCAGCTTGGAATGAGCTACGACCAGTATTGCGGCCATCTTCGCTGCAAGAACGTTCTGCCATGCAGGGCGGAAACAATGGCCTCCCCGGCCGCGCCTGACACTGGGTGGCAAATGCAAGAGCAGTTCGCTGCCAAGCGTTTCAGAAAGGCCAGAAGGGCGGCCGCCCAAAGCCTCCGGGCGCTGCTCTACCCGGCGTCACCCCGCCACCGCCAGCACTGACCGCCTTCTCTGCCGGGCGACCCTCGCCCAAGTCTGGGCGGTTGAGCGGGCCATCGATGAAGATGAGTACCGCGTGCCACCGCCTTAGACGAGGCGTCTTATTTGTTGTTGCAGGCCTTGCCTGCCAACTGGACGCCTGCCGCCTGGCGTGAGGCATGCCGGGCGAGTCCTGGGCTGGTGCGTGTGCCCCATGTATCTCCGGCACCACCTGTGCTGCAATCAATGCAGCCGCCTTGACTCGATTTGCGCTCATTCGTCGTCCCCCCCTCCACAGGAAAGCCAACGGGGGCGGCAACCGGGCAACCCACGCAAGTGGGCGCGTACCTACGAGGGCAAAGGATTAACATCTTCATTGACTGCTACGAGGGCAAAGGAGGCGAGACGCCCAAGAAGATTGAAGATTGGAGCTGTTCGATATGATTGGGCGCAGGCTGGCCCAACAAAAGGACAGGAGGTATCACTCCGCACCTCCTTCGACACGGACAGTTGGGCCTACCTTCGCCACGAGCTCACCGCGCCTCACGTGGGCGAACGCAACCACGCCCTCCTGGCCAAGCTGGTACAGGTGTGGGGCCACGACCTCCTCAACGCCTACCGCCAGTAGCTCATTGTGGGACCTGCGCACCGCCTTCAGACCCACTCTTTGGTTCCATTTCGCAATGTGCTTCGGGGCGGCCGCCTCCGTTTGTCCAATTCCTCCTCTTTGTGGTGTGCGGACACTATGTGGATGATTTCAACAGGGTGGATGCCGATGCCGAGGACTTGGTGGACTCAGCGTTTGGCTGCCTCGCCGACTTCTTCAAGGTCATGAGGCCTCCGCCAAGCTGTCCAAAGCTCAGGATCCCTGGTGGACACATGTCATCCAGGGCGTTCAGGCGTCCTTCACAGACGACAACCGACAGCAAGGCGCCTGAAGAAGATCATCTCCCAAATCCTGGACAAGGGACGCTGCGCCGCAGGGACCGCCCACAGGTTGGCGGGCAAACTCAACTTCGTCAACCAGACGGTCTTTGGGAAGGTCGGACGGGCGGCGTTGTTGCCCATCTATGGCAGGGCGAGTGCCAACGCGGGCGACCAAAACGAAACGACGCCCGGCATGCGGGCTGCTTTGCTGCGACACGGGGGATCTTGGAGCAAGTCCCACCGAGGTTCATCCCGTTCACCGCCCCCAGGGCGGCAACAGGTGTCCTTTACGCCGATGCCTCTTCCTTGAGGGCGAGAACTCCGCAAGGCCGGCTGGGTACCCAATGCCCAGATGACGCGCTCCCAGAGGGCGGCCAATGGCTGGGGCTACGTCGTCAGGATTGGCTACCAGTCCGGTACGATTCGCGTGCAAGTTCGACACCAAACGGGCGTATATTTACGCTCGAGGTCCTGGCGCAGATCCTTGCCGTGGTCACCCTCGCCGACTACCTGGGCGAGGACTGGGTGGCGTTCATTAATAAGAGGTATGGTCGCGATGCGGCGGTCAATGGGCTGCTATTCGCCTTCTGGTCCCTGGCGGCAACACGCTCATGGCGACCAACATTCTACCGCGTGACCTCCGAAGCCAACATCGCTGACCCGATCTCCCAGGCGGATTGCACCCTCGCGGTCCGCCATGGCTGGTCACAGGCGGACACTAACCTCACCAACATCCTCGAGATCCTGGCCTGGGCTGCGGACGAAATGGAATATGCCGGTCACAGGGCGGCTTCTGACTTGCAGGCGCTTTAGATTGTCTGGTGCCGGCGAGATGCGGGAGAAGGGGCGCCGGGCGGGGTGCAGATGCGCCCCTCCGGCCCCGGGATTTGGGGCGTCTGAGGACCCCCGGCTGATACAGGCATTATCCCACCGCATCAAAATTGCCGTTGCATTTTGGTTTGTGCAGTGCACGTTGTGCGGTATGTTACTCTTTGCCCCGGCCTTGGGAGATAGCTTGGGCGCTGCCTTGCGTTGAATGCATTGTTGCAAGATCCACCCCTCATTTACAGTCGTCTCAGGCACACTGTTGCAACAAGTACTGGGTGGCATGTGCTGTTGGGAGACATCCGGCTGAGGCCTGATGTTGCAATCCAAACCAACAGATTCAAGATTATTGATTGGTTGTGAACAACTAGTCTGTGTGGAAAGCGCCGTGGCCACGCCTTCGCAGCGATCGCATGATACTGTAAGCTCGGTCCGCCACCTCTGTGCTTAAATGCTTGTCAGCTTGGATGTTTCCAAGCTACCTGACCTACAGCCAGGGCTCAAATTGAGGGCGCAGAACGTTTTGATGACTTTTCTCGCCGAGCATCATTTCCTATCCCCTGGATTCTCCAAGCTAAGCTGTATACTCGTCCACCAATACTCGATGTTGTTCGAGGTCACCGTGTTTAGGTATGTGTTCAGCATGGAAAGGCCTACCACGTACGCATATGTGTGGCTTTTTCATAGAAAAGGCCATGACGTTTTAATGATTGAGGTCTAAACGCTTCTGCCCCGACTTGGGGAAGTGACATGCTGCTTGCTGGGTCGGTAGGCGTCGGATGTCCAGTTCGTCTTCATGTCCAGGTTCGGTGGGCTTGGCAACATGTTGTTGCTGTGCATGGTTGGCTTGTGGCTCAAGCCAACATGGCCAGAGTCGCAGGGCATGCAACCCAAAGCAGTACTGCAGTTGCAGGAAGGACGTCGTAGATATCCATTGGTGAGATTCAAAAGGCTGAACGTGCTAGCGCTTGCAACAATAACTTTTCCTGACCTAACAGGAATCACAGGAAGGGCCGGAACGGATTTATGCTCGGGATTTCTCGGTGTCGTTGAACTTATTAGTGCCATCCCTAGTTTCAATGTGAACAGAGAGTGGGATCATGCGTGTGCTTCACACTGAGGCTAGCATCCGAGCAGATGTTGAAGCAACGCGCCAACTCTTCAAAGCCGCACCAGGCCTGACGTGAAAGTTCCCAGAAGGGCTCAAGGTTAAAATTGCATTAAAAAGATATTCTGCATTTTTTTGCGCCGTTTCTTAAACCTGACTTTGGGCAAAAGATGTTTTGCTTTCGCAGAAGAAGCCCCAGAGCATTGACGGGGCATCGACCGTTGCAAATTGTCAGACATCATTAAGCTTCAACCAGAAATCGTTCATCGCAAGCTGACGCTGGGAGCTGATTTGTAGGGCCACCGGCACCAATCAAGCTTCAATATCCAAAGCTCAGACACATGGTTGCCTGTCGTCTCAGGTGCTTCAGAAAAGGATTTGTGCAGCCCTTCTGTTGTGCGCAGTCGCAGTGCTGGGCCACTGGGATTCACAGCCAGAAGAAGCGGTGTGCAGGTTTGTGAGTAAATGGTGTTTATTTTTGTGCTCGCAAAATGTGATACATTATTGACAAGACATGGTGGTTCCATTATTGACAGGCTTCACATCAAATTTGAAGAAGCAGAAGTCATGGACAACGGTGCCATGGTTCAACGGCAGATCATGCGTACAAATCAGAAGAAGGACACAATTTTAGTTGTATAGAAAAGCACCAGGATCAGGATTTGCGAGTTAGTTCTTTGGTCTGGAATCGCATCCACCGGGTTTCGGATGTGCCGCTTACCGTGTGTCAGGGTCGCAAGTTCAGCCACATTCAGCGGAGTTTCAACGTGTGGTGAGCGTGAGGGCATCTAGCAGCAGTTTGCCTTTGAGCAGCCAGTGCTGGCTTATAGATCTTCTCCACCAAGGAAGCTTTCGCCGTTGCCCCTTGACGAGCGGGCGCCGCACTACAGGAAGCTATGACGCATCACAAGCCACTAACGTCCCAAAAAGTGTGGTACTGACACCCGGCTTGAATCCTTGAAAGTGTGCCCATTCCTAAGCATTGTGGTGGAGGCTCTTCGAGCGGAAAGGTGTGTGTGGGTGTGTGTGTTGTCTTCAAGCGTGAAATCCCATTGCTTTTCATCGCAGAACAAGCTTATAACAGTTGGTTTGCTCAGCACGACATTTCATGATGTTTGAGCATTCCCATGCAAGCGGCCTTTTTGCTATGTGTTGGGGGGAGAACAGGGTTCCTACCACTGCCAGAGCTGAAATCTAGTGCTGAGAGGAGTGCGGGAAGGGATGCCAATAGCTATCCCAAAATAAAATCACCACAAGCTTCCTGGCTCCGTCTGTGATCCAGCAGCAAGGTCTTGAATGAGCCATAAATAAGCAAAGCCTGGTCATGGCGCAGCTTCGCGTGATGTCTTTGCGAGAATATTTGTAGTCTTTTCAATCATGGAGCTTCTCCTCTCCCCTTTGGTGAAACACCTCGCCTCTAATTATTAAGTAACTAATATTCTCAACACTGTTATGCATTCAGGAATTTAGTATTCTTACCCGGAGGACTGCCAGCCTTGGCTGCTCGAACCGATTGACCTCAGGCACAGAGTTGGGAACAAACAAAGCATCGTAGCTCTCTACCTGCCCCTGCTTTCAGTTCGAATGCTGCTTCTGAGGATTTAAAGTGCCAGGCAAGGATGAAGGGCTGGTACACTCAACGGTGTGCATGGATTGCAGTTTTGGTTTTCGCAGGGCTGTGGGAACCGTACGTATCAGGTTGCGCTTTTGGGATCTGATTATGTGTGTAGTCGCTTCCGTGCAAGTCCAAGTCCCTCGAAGTTGTTTTTATGAACGAGTTTTTCTTGACTGTCATCCTGGCATAGGTTCCTTTGCATTCTCACACGTAGGCACTGCAGTGTTGCACCTGTTTGAACCTCTGAGTCCAAATCCCTGTGCAGACCTTGCAAGCTTTCCCCAAGTTGCGGAGCTTGGCAGCGGCGGCTTCGAGGTGGGGCTTGCCTTCGGCTTTTGTGAGTTTCTGGTTCAGAGGTCAGGGGCTAGGCTCGGGAAAGATTCACTATTTAAACTTGTGTTTTTGAGGCAGGCGTTCAGGGTTTTGATTTGGCGCTTCAACTGGAGGAGGCAAGGCTTGTAACATTCTTGAACGGTGCATGGTGCATTATTCCGATACCAGACGACATACACTGTTTGCAACAAGATGGCGTGGCTATTTTCGCAATTCATCGAAAAAACGGCCTGAATGTTTGGACGGCAAGTCGACTATTGAGCCAGCTGCTTGGTAAAAAACGAGGGCACCTCAAATTGAAACATCTTTCCGAGCAGATGCGCCTAAAGACTTGGTATGAAAATGTCACTGCAAGTTGAAGGTTGTGCGTTTCCCTGCGTTTGAGGCTGCCAGCAGCAAGGTGAAGGTGGTGCCGGAGAGCAACGGGCCTCGAAGCCAAATTTAGGGGCACCGGGTTGAAAGTGGCCTGGACAGGGTGCAGGCATGGGGTGCAGAAGCGAAGCATGCTTGGTGCATTCGATTTGTGGGCTGACGGTTCTTCATCTCAGGCCAGCCTCGGCAAGTTCAGCCGTGCTGGTGTTCGACAGCGAAGATGAGGCGCTGGGCATGCCTTGATCTTCCTCTATTCCTCCAGGGGCCTGGTGACTGGGTTCAGGTGTTGGCTTCGGCCAGGAATTCTTGGAATGTGCCGAATGCCCTGGGCCGATTCCTGACATGACGGTCAAGCTTCTCAAGCTTCATGTTGGTTCCAAAGCCCTTTCCTGATCTGATGCAGAAACCTTGCCAACAGCTCAGCCAAGACTCCACAAGAAGACTCCGCAACAAGATCCCGTGGTCTGCTTGTGGAGATCTGCTCTTTGCACTCGGCCAATGTGTTAAAACCAAAAGGCGGGCAATTTACTGACTTGCCGTTTGCTGGCAGGCTCTCATTGCCTGGAGCCAGGCCTGCTGAGCGGGGGTTATGTCATGGCCGTGCGATTGGATCGCTGTGCTCGCTGTGCATGTTCTGAAGTCCTGCGAATTTTGCAGACCGTTGGCCTGGACGACGTCGATGTTGAGGGCGACCTTACCTTGCCGGCTGACTGAGCTGCAAATTTACTCGCTCCAGACTTTTCTGCAGCTGGCGGCTTCGGGGCTGTGGGTCTAGATTAGCCTAAGACGGGCTTTTCTGCGACTCCGCAGTGTTGTTGTCTGGCCATCCATGCGCGAGAAAAGTTGCAGTTCAAGTGCACAGTCCCTTTTCTTTTGGCTGGGTCGGCAACTGTGAAGGCAAGCGACACTGCTTTCAGACAGAAGAGATTGAGATCCTGTTGAACAATAGAACCATCGCTGGTGACCATCTTCAGCATCCTTGGTGTTGACTGTAAATGTTTCAGCATAGCTGCACCAAAACTTATGTTAGCACCCAAGAAGTACCCAATAACGCAGATCCTCTTCAGTTTGTGGTCCTCTCCAGGACGGGCGCCTCCACCGTGCTCCGCTGTAGAGATACGAGAGGGGACTTGGTATGTAAAATTGGTTGGGTCACCTGAGCTCTTCCTGCAGGCCTATGTCTTTCTGAGTGAGGGTCACGCAGGAGCATGTGCTCCTAGGTTGACTAGGGAGCTACGTGATTCCAGATTCATTAAAAGCAACCAATTGTCCATTCAAGACATGTATCTCAGAAGGTTCGACCCGCGTTTGTGTCAACTCTTGGGATGCTAGCCAGGTACTATGCGCAACCAAACAACCATCGGCCACAACCGCAGCCCGCGCAGCACCCGCCAGGGAACTTGGCGGCCAATCCAACGTATCCACGTGGATATGGAGTGCAGCCTGGGCCAGCCCCCAGCCATCCTCCGCAGCATGCCCCGCAGCCCCACCAACCCCACCAACCCCACCAACCCCACCAAGTCCACCAAGCCCACCCCCAGCATCCTCCACACCATCAACAGCATCCCCCACAGCATCCCCCACAGCATGCTTCACCACAGTTTAGCCGGCCCCCAACAGCGAATTACCCGAATTACCCGTATCAGCCACAGCCGCGGGCCCCGCAGCCACCGCAGCCAGGCCCTCCTCCCAGTTACCCTCCGTACCGACCGCCTTCGCATCCTTCGCATCCTTCGCTTCAAGCGCCAGCGGCACCAGCGCGGCCCTATGCACCCGGGGCGGTTCATCGACCCTTGCCAAATGGGCATCCTCCGCATTCACATGCGCCTCCAGACCAGCACCCCGCCTACCTTCCGCCCCATCCAGCTCACCCATCCCATTCTCATGTGCATCATGCACAGCCAGCTCCTGCCGCCCACCACGCCCCGACACATCCCAACTACGTTGGCTACACACGCCCACCTCCACAACCTGTGCAAGTCCAGTACGCACAACCCCCACCAGCCCATAGACCCGCCTACCCAGGGCCAATCCCTGCGCCCGTTGCTGTGCACCCCATGCCTGCGCATCCCCATCCCTACCAAGTGCGGCCCGCGCCTTACTACCCGCACTATCCTCGGTGACATGGCCAGCTGAAGGAAGAGGCTACCTACCTGCATGGGCGGTGAATTTGCAAAAGCCTCAGACCCTCTAGTGCTGCCTCAACCTAGGATTTTACCGTGCGTGACAAGTGTTGAGTTTCCTTGGCGCCTTGTTGCAGGTGGCGCGAACCTCGTTGCTCTTGATGCCTAGGGGCCATGTCACCTGCGCTCAAGGATGCATCGGCACCCAAGTCAGAATACACGTGTAGTTTATGGTGCATTGCCGAATGGAGCATTAAAGGCTTCTGTACCTGCATTAGCTTGACTTGCAGCAACTCATCCAGTGTTTCCGCATCAAGGCACAAGGCAACGTAGGATGCATCATGTTGAGCGCACGTGGTAGTGACTAGTGACTTGATCATCGCGGAGGCGCAGAATGGCGTAGATTATGTGGTGACGCGCAAGGGTATACAGAACAAAAGGCGGGTGCGTGAAGGAAGTTCTGCTCAGACACTGCTTATGCAGGTTTTCGTTGCTTATTTCTTATGTGTTTTTTAGGCCTCGCGTGGCTGTTGCCCAGTCCCAGCTTGGCTTCTTGAAGAGCGCCTTTCTCAACTCTGTCAGCTCTATAGTGCTGTGCTTCGCTGGATTCCGCAGCTTTTAGGGCTGCAGGCTTCTCATGATTGTAGTCAAAACTGTTTGAGAGAGCATCCAAGTACGCGGCGCGGCGCCCGGCATACTTCAGAAGGAGAGGCTTTGGCCAAGTTGGTTTTGGAGTTTAGTCTGCAAGAATATCATGTATGAACGGCTGCAGTTTACGCCACGCTGGTTGTGTCCGAAGCTGACACTGTACAAGTATGCTACTATGGGCTTTTCTAGCACCTCCATGTACGAGCAGCAGACACTGTCCAAATCAGTGCAGACGTCGAGTGGCTGCACAATCGCAGGAAATGAGGAAACTTGACGCTATGTACGTCGTAACTATCATTCAGAAGCGGGAAATTATTGATAGACACGTAAGATGTCAACGCGGTAAGTCGGCAGCCCGTCTCTGTCCAGATCTGGTGCTAAACAGTTCACGGCAGCTGCGCTGAGGTCGTTGCGGCCGCTGGGTACAGTACGCGTCCCGGAGATAGTTGCTTACAGGTTTCTCCTGCGACTTGCGCTTAGCTTGAAACTTGCGCTCAATACTGAGGTTAGCCTTGACAACCCAAAAATGGTAGACGGCTGTGGAAGCTGTTGGCAGGCTTTCACCTTCATGAAGGCCAAACCGTTCTAGAGTGGCCGAAAACAGGAATGCCACACATACTTTGGCAGGACACTGGCGGCAAGACGTTTCCTGCACCAGGCGGTAGCCAAAACACAGAAACAGATGGCTAATCAATCAGGCTAGACGGTGATCAAAAGAGCTCTCCACCCACAAAGCTCTCAAAAAGCCATGGTTCCGCCGCGCCGCCGTGGCTCAGCCGGTGTGCTGGCTACGCTGCTCCTGCTGGGCTGCAGCATGTCTTGAATTTTGAGTGCTCCGAAGGAATCAGGGGCTGGGAATGACTTGCTGCGGCAACTGCCCCTTCTTGTTCACGGGTTGGAGGTTTTTGGGTATGAAGACCGTGCAGGGACAACGACTACGGTCTTTATTCCGATATTGTAAGATCCATCTTGGCAGGGAAGGATGGTGGTCCTCAGTTCGAATGAGAAGACTTGAGGCTCGGTCCCGGAACGTCCTTTCAAGGCAAAGGACAAGATGTGAGTGAGTGAAGCCCTTGACGTTTTGAAAGCTCCCGCTGCTGCCTGGATCCGTTTCCTTTGCTTTGTCGGGGAAAGCTAGTCCAAGCTCTTCCAAACCCTGAATTCATAGATTGTTATTCAAATTACACACACACACACAAGCTCAGGCACCTTCGTAGGGCCTGTGCCCAAGCCAGCAGAGCACAAAACGTCGCCCATTGCCAGGTGGCTTGTGGCAGCTTAAATGGCTGTAGCATTGGTCCAAGACGTTGGGGATGATTAGCCTGCTTGTAAGCTGAGGCGTTTCTGTAGTGGCATTCGTTGCTTGGCCACCCTCCAATTTCAGCAAACCTGACCTGCGTTTTTTCGGATAGGTCTACCGGTTCTTGTTTGTACAGTTCCAAAACAGCCATATCAGCCTCAGAACTGTAGCTGCAATATGTTTGGCTATCATCACGTAGGTTCAGCCCAATGGGTATCAGCTTTTCAAGGTTTAGGCCCGCGGCTTGAAGCATTGGCGGTAGATGTAGTATAAGCATTAGCCGAACTAAACGGAGCATGTTTTCAATCCTGATTTTTTTCATGCCTGAAGCGCGAAGAGTTGTAAGCTCAGCTTCTGACAAGATCTCGCATATGTCTTGTGCATCCGGTGGTTCAAACCTGACCCATTGGAAGTGTGGTTGCTGCTCAGGATCTCCCGTAGCGCGGAGGGCTCAGCCGCTCCTGAGGCGGCTTGCTTGCCACTGAGGTCACCTCCTGACGTTTGCTTGCTAGGGATTGAAGCCGGTTTGTATTCTTCGCAATGCTTTTACAATTGAGGAGACTAGTAGTATGTGTTTGTAAAGGACTCCTTTGTGACCCTGCTGAAGGTGTGCTTGGCAGTTCGGAGGACGTCTAGACTTTAGACTTCAGACTTGTGGATTCGTCCTGAACTTTTGGCTTCGGGATGACATTGCGAGCTTCGAATGGCTGTTCAGGGTTTAGATGCCTTTTGGGATGGCTTGGTGTGTAAGGTTGTCTGCGGATGTCACTTAGAGTTTCTGCAGATTAGCGGCTTTTTGATTATTGGTATTCCACAGTCTTTAAAGCTTTTACCATTCCAGACATGTCGGACCCCCTCCAGCTCAATAATGCAGGGGGGAGCGACTTGCGGACGCAACCGTGTTGTCATCTGAAGGGCCAATCCCAAAGGCCAGACCTCCTGATTCCTCATCCCGGATGAGGCGGAAGCCCAGGCTGTCAGGATGGGATCCTCGCGGCACTTGCCTTCACAAGCATCCTGTTTGGTGACAGAGCCTGCAAGCGCCTTTACCTGTGGCCCTGTGCAGGATGCATCGGCGGAAGCGCTGGAGTGGCGACCGGCTCTGCGGCGGCCGCCCTGCAGAAAACTGTCAAAAGGGAACTATGTGAATGAACCCCGACAAGAGGTTGTTCGAGATTGAGCAGAGCTGTTGACCATGATGCTAGCACTGGACAAAATAGAAGAGGTTTTGGAAGTTGTGGTGGCGCTTTTTGCAATCCTTTGAATTGGTGTTTGGGTCATGCATGTTTGAGTTTCTTCAGTAGGTGCTTTAGGTGTGTGTAGCTCTCTACCCTACACATGCATCACGCCGGCGTTTATCGCAGTTTAGGGCCTCATGTGCCAAAGTCTCAGAGCACCCACCAAAAGATTGTACTTTTTCTGAAATGTCTTTTGGAATTTGTGCTGCGGCTTGTGAGGCAGCTTTGTTTTACTGCTGTGTTGTTTTGGCTTCACGCGAGAATTTGGCTTTCGTGGCGCCAATGGCATGTAGTGGTGCTTCTGACAAGACTTTCGTCTACATGAATTAGATAGGTCTTGAGCGGATTTGACTTATGCGAATTTTGAGGTTGGGTTTGGACGCTAAAGGGGTACCATCGAAACAATGACTACTTGTCAGGCAGCTTTGACAGGGGAAGTTTGTAAAATGATAGGTGTTCAACAATTCATCAAGTCATCAAGGTTTCAACCAAGGATTTGGCGTCGAAAGAACACAACAGTGAAGTTTGCCCGCTGTTCAGCTGGGAACGCTGGAAACGCACCCTTGCACCGAGATGTTGCTGCTGAGGCTCCTCCTGGCAAGGCGAAGCAGTGTCCGAGAAACGGCGCTGAAGGCCGAGCAAGTACTCGTGTGTTTGGTTTTGGGCTTCGGGCACACTACAGTCACCATTCAGGATCCATGCTTGAGGCACGGGTGTTGTTTTTCAGCTTCGGGACTTGAATTTAGTACGTGAAGTAGCGATCCTTCATGGAGCATGTGAATGCACCTTCGCTACATGGTAGTTGGGTAGTCGTGCAGATGTACGAGACTTGAGGGTTTGGGAGCATCCCCAGCCATAGCCCCAAAGCCATGTAGGAGCTCTCCGTGATCTTTGACAAGATCAGTCCGGAGATGTTCCTGGAGATTGAGCGCTTCGGCATGGCTCCTTGTAACCTTGGAGTGGAGGGTGAGGGTCAGCCTATGAGAGATTTGCAACAATAGACAGGTCTCTATATCCGAGGGCTTGCATCCGCACATTCAGACTGAATTTGAAAGCTCCCAGTGCAGTGCAGACCAGCTAAGCTAAGGCCTCGGCTGCTCCGAAACTCCGCCTGCGACCCTTCTTCGGGTACAGCGCCGCCTGCGCCAGCGCTTTGGACCGCCGTCATAGCGGTAAGGAAGCGTGAGCCAGGATGTTCGGCTGTTTTCTAGACCGTCGCTCAGGTAGTAGAACTTAGGAAGGATCGTGAACTTCAGATCTGGACGGCACCTACCGTTATGTAAAAAGCTTGCATCTTTGTGGGACGAGCAGGTGAGTGACTGATCTCGGCCTGGCACACACCGGCTAGGGCTGGAAATGATGTACGACGCGACTTTTTTTGCTTAGGACTGATACAGGATTCATTCAGCCTTAATCTGCTTGGAGGCGCAAACGTTACGTTGCAGGGCGGTTTTTTTAGTCCCAAAAGCCACACCGTCTACCGTAATGTAGGTGTTCTTTCATGCTGTACTTTGTCCAACCAGAAACCTGGCTGCATTGTAGCATGCCGGCTTCTAGTGCGCCTTCTAAAGTTAGAAATCAGTCATTGTGGAAGCAAGCGGTCGGCAACGCCAAAGGCTTGTACCGCACGGTGACGAATCACATCCTCCCGCAGCAGGTGGGGCACTATTTCGACCAGGGCTTTTGGGCCTGGCGTTTAGGACTTCCAGGTTTGAAGCGGGTCAAGCAGAAGGCCAGTTGAGGGGGTGTAAGTATGTCCTGCTAGCACATAGGGGAGATCAAGGAGCTTGGGCCAACACTTTTCCTCTGAGGCCGGCAGTCCGGTGGAGCTGCAGAAGCGAAGCCGCGATGGAAAACAGCGGTTGCGGTATGTCCTGAAGCTCCCTGGCGGTATTTGAAAGGGGTTACATGGGAGTTTGAGATATGCCATTACATGAGTTGGGGGCTGTTTCAAGGGACTCTTTTCCAACCTTCTTCAGGGTGACTTACAAAACCGGATTTCGTCGCAATTGCATGTCGGATGAAATCCCTGCTGGTTGATTTAGTGTGAGTATAACCCCTTCAGCATCTCCAAACCTGATCCAACCAAGTTTCATGTACCATCCATCCTGAAATCAATCATCTAGAGGCTGATAAGTCGTGTATGGGCCTATGTTGCATGGATGCCTACTCCCGCCGCCTTGCTTTCAGGAATGACGTCCTAGATGCAAATGGCGAAGCCCAGGACATTCCCTGCCAGCCATGTGCAGGGTGGTCAAGATTAAGGTTGTGTGTTGGTAGCGGAAGCAGTTGTAGTTGCCGTCTTGGAACATCTGCCGATTCAGGAGAACTTGATCATGAGCCCTATGCATGCCTACCAGGATGGCAAATTTCGTTTTTCCAGCGCTCGGGCTAAACTACTTTCGCTGCAAAGACAGAGTACTAGCAAAGCAGGCTTTGCAAAAGTTCAATTCACGAGTTGTCCTTGAGACCTGACAGGGCAGTTTCATGAGGGTTGTTGCAGTTCTGATGTCCACAAGACCTGCACACTCTGCGAGGCTGGCGTAGAGGAGGAAACTGCCGTTTCCGACGCCAGCTGCTGTGCCTCATAAACATGTCCTTTGCTTGTTGTCCAGGGTGCATCAGGGTGCCAAACCAGGATAAAGAGAAGGAAACCGGCTACGACTTGGTGTACAGCCATGGGCTATATGAGGGAACAAGCAGCGCCAGAGGCTAAGACACTCATGCCACGCTCGACAAGGTGATTCGAGGAGGTGTGGCAAGGCTGCTTAGCTCCCTCAGCCAAAGCTACCAACACAACTGTAAGCCTGCTTTCTTTGTTGATTACCTTTATCCCGGTGCGCTCGCTTTCTCTCTTTTTCTTTCTTTCTTTCGCTCTCTCTCCCTTTCTATGTATACCTCCACCTGTCCCTCTTGGTGTCTCTTTGCTTTCTTGCAAAAAGCAGGGCTCGGCACACGCCTTTGTTCATTGACAACAACTCAGGCAAGGCCCGCGCCCTCTTCGTGGTGTTGCGGCAGCTGGTTGCAAGCACCGCCTGGGATGTGGAGAGGTGGCAGGGCACAGTTTAAAGAACGCACTGTTATTGAGCTGGTCCTGGTGTTTGCGGCTGGGAATCCAGTCTCACACTGACGGGAATGTTCCGTGTCCTTTTCCCTGCCCGGTTTTACACCACATGTAGCGGTAGTCCAGGGGAGCTCCTCCTTCCAGAGGCGTGCATGTCAATATCAGCTCTTCTCCCAGCCACTGTATGAATCCTGATCTTACTTGTTCCGATTCTGCCAAGTACTGTTGGGCAAACTGCAGGTCCGCCGTCAAAGCCGAGGCAGGTGAGGGCGAGTGGAAGCAGCGGACCCCAGACCTGGAGACTCCTCAGTACGAGGCCGTGGTCCTTGCAAGAGATACAGGACTTCATATGTTCAGATGCAAGGCGGGGAATTCGTGGACTCCAAGGCCTATCTAAGACCAGTCAAGGTCCTTGTTTGAGGGTCCAGACGCCCCAGGCCTCCGGCTCGGCGGATTAACTGCGTATATTGGAAGTGGGTGCTGAATGTTGGACTAAGCCCATAAGCAAGCTGTTAGCGGTGCAGCTGAAGCCTTGCGAAGCAGAGCCTCAGCAGGCCAGAGCTTTTCTGGAGTGATGCAGATCAAGTCTGCGAGAGACCTCGCCGATGCTTTTCAATCTTGAGAACCTGTCATGCGAATTGCAACTGGCATCAGGGTTCATCTTGAGTAGGTCTGCAAGGACTCCGCAACGAAAGGCAGCTCTTGGTACCGGGAGTACATATGTGAAACCGAGATAACAATGGGGATCAGTGATTATGATGTCGCAGAATTCGCGGCGCCGCTTGCTTTCCGCAGGTAGTCTTTCGTGATGCTCTGAACAGCTACGAGGCTCTGGATTTCATCATGCTTGTGTCTTGCATACTGTGCCGAGAACGAGATCTATATTTGCAAGCCAAGCCAATCAAAGCCCCCGCGCGCGCATACACTTGCAATTTTTGCAGAGCCTGCATCTGGTGTATAGCAGCATAAAAGGGCTCACGTAGCCAACTGATTATAGCTGAGGACTGCCTTCCCAACTCAAGGTGATACCAAAAAATGATCTGAACATTTGCCACCATAAGATGCAAAGTGTGCAACGGCCATGGCTGGAGGTTCGTGAGTATGCGCCCTATGCCGTGGTGAGGACTGATGGCCAAGGCAAGGAGGGCTTATCGCTTGACCTAGTGTACTTATTCCTTGTGCTCATGAGGCCCAAGATTTGTTCAGCAGGTTGTTGCTAAACAGTTAGAAGCTAGTTGCATCGGAGCCCAGGATTGGGCCGACCAACAGTAATGCGTTTTCACAGTTTTGCCTGCTTGAGGGTCGTTTTTCTTCGAAAAGGGTCCAAGGCTTCATGAACTGGTGCTCCGTTCTGAGACATGAAGGCTGCTAGCAGGTGGAGCCCAAGAAGTTTGCTAAATGCGAATGCAGAGCTGCACGCAATCTACGTTGGCTTTCTGAATCTCGTTTAATCGCTAGTTCCATCCAGGCAGCGACGCAGCTAGCAACCGCTCCTTCTTCCTGCTTGCGGACTACATCTTTGGCAAGAAGAATGAAAGGCAAACAAGTCGAATTCCACCGACTTCCCTCAACGCGAAGCTTCAATGGAGTGCCAAGGGATGGCTCGCTTTTGCTTAGCACTGCCTGGCACTTCTCGTCAGTTTCTGCAAGGACTAAGACATCGAGCAGGGAGTAATAACACTTTGAAAGAAGTTTGCACAGAAGAAGCTTCATCCCCTCCATTGAGAGGCAAGAAAAGATGGCAATGACCACTCCCGTTCAGATGGACAAGAGCACAGGCACGATGTCGCAGCTCGGCGTCGCACATTAACATAGTACGGAGAGTTTTTAGGTACACCGCAGGGATTCTATAGGGATTTCTTGAGTGTACAATGCGAATGGCAGGCCACGCTGAAGTACATAAAGGCTTTTAGTGAGGTCGTGCATCGCAAGCACAATCCTGTACGGTGACACCCCCAGGCATTTGAGATTCCAGGGGCTTGTGATCTTCACAATTAGGATGACTCAGAGCGCGCGCACTGCCTGTGGGGAGATGGGGCCCGTTTGAAGCGATGTCCGAATCTAGCGCGCTCTGTGAAGGATGAAATGACAAGAGACCAGGAATCTGTCTGGGCAGTGGATGATAGGAACTATTCTCTGCTGCGGTGCTTGGAGTCTGCACAAGTGTAATTGTAATTGCAATCGTGCAGTTTGCCGGAGTGCTATGTATCGGCATTCGTCCAAGTACTCAGGAGGTTTCCTTTGTAGCTTTTCAAGTTGAATGTGTGAGACATTGACCGTGTTGCTCCACTCTGGGGTCAGGTGTGCGTTGGCTTCTTGTCGCAATGACTTTGACTCGCACATTCCCGTGTGATCGCAACCGTTACGATCGTAATCTCGACTGCGTCGCCTTCTTCCGGCTGTGAGTCTGAATCCTGTATTTCTAGTTTTGTCCATCTGAAAAAGGAGACCTGCATAAAGCCAGATGATTGCAACAACTTCAGGTTCATCATGCCCAGCAAGTACTGGGGCGACGGCCTCGCGGAGGCCCCACCGCCGGCCGAGGATGCCGGCGTTGCGCTACAGGCCAGCCATGTGAACATTGGAACGGTAGAGGCCAGGCCGAGTCACAGGCTAGAAGAGCCCCAACTGCATACACCCAGCAGAGGCAGTGCTGGCGCCCGGTGTGTCTTTAATAGTTACGGGGAAAATGGTACGAAAAGCCACTTTTTGCGAAAAGCGACTTTTTCCGAAAAGCCAGTTTTTGCAAAAAGTGACTTTCTCCGAAAAATGACTTTTTTCGAAAAGTGATTATAGGCGACGATCGCCGAAAAGTATGTTTTCCCGAAAAACAGCTTTTTGCGAAAAAACGACTTTTTGCGAAAAACCACTTTTTTCGAAAAGCTACTTTTCTTGCTGCGAAAAGTGACTTTTCCGCGAAAAACAACTTTTTGCGAAAAGTGACTTTTCCGCGAAAAAACGACGTTTTGCGAAAAGCGACTTTTCCGCGAAAAACGGCTTTTTGCGAAAACTGACTTTTTGCGAAAAAAACACTTTTTGCGAAAAGCTACTTTTCTTGGCTGTTTCCCGCTATATACAAAAGACGCCTCACAGGACAGCTTAGTAAAGAGGTTTGACAGCTAATCGTAGGCTAGATGTTTCTGACAAGTTGGAGGTGAACATATGCGGTACTGAAATAGCTGCATAGCTGCTACATGCAACAAGGGGCCAGGACAGCCCTCAGCTTTTTCTTGACCTCAGAAATCTTAACGTGCCGTGCGTGCCCGAACTCCGATCATAACTCAATTTTCATTGGAGGCTCGGGACGGCGAGCAGGTGGCTGTCAGCACCTTTGGTGGCTACGCCGTGGGGTCCGTGGTGGCCAGAAAGCAGCTTGGCGAGCTTTGGGAAAGACTTTGAGGGACTTGGGGAGGGGTTTTCGGCATTGGCTGCTTGCTTAGGTTGGCCGTATTTGGTCTGACAACTTCAATTGCGGTCTGTCAGGTGATGGCATCTTCTTCTAGATTTAGATCAGACTGTCGCTTCTGGTCTTGTTTGCCTGCCTTGAGGAGTTTGCAAGACATTATATATGCTAGAAGGCTTAGGCAAGCTGTTGCAAGATTCCTGGCGTGTTTGGTCCTTCGAATGCTTTTGGTGGGCACACAGTCCGATTCCCTTTCATGTTCACGTTAATGGGACATGTGCTCAGCGGTGCATGGCAACCTGGGCTTAGGCATTGCAACAGGATTGCGCTTTCGAACAAGTTGCCTGGCCAAGGACTGACGAACTCTTAGCCTCGGTCGCGCAGAGCGAGGACGTGACGTACTCGTGTCAAAGCAATGGGGATCCCTGCCGTGCTCTTGAGAAGCACTTAGATATGTCAATGTGATGCCAAGCACTTTGCTAATAGATAGGACGACATCATGGGATCGGCTCATTTTTCTCAGATTTTTCAGATTGTTATTTCTTCTTTTCGGTTTTCTACCGTGCCGGGCCGTGCACTTCTCTGACCCCTCACTCGGTCAGTCGATCAGTTGTCCCGATTCTGTTGGTCGATGGCTTGGTCGATTACCAGACGACGAGCGCTACTAACCTTGTCTGCAAGTGCCTGCAACCGTATTCCGTGCAGCATGACATGTGATCATCATGTTTGCAGCCGGGGGGGCTGTGCCCACCCCTCGAGTTTTTTCTCAAGCAATGCAAGTTTACCTCAAAAGAGTACCACGTTGCCAACGGCTGCCTGATTGCCTGAAAAAGTGCTTTTCAAGAGATTTGTCGAAGCAACATGACAGTATCACCCATCAAAGGCCCTAGCCTTCATAGGGAGGTTACGATGCTCCCAACCAGCTTTTCTTAATGGCCGTGCAAGCCCGCCTTAAAAGACTGCCACCCCAAAGATCCTAGTCCTTGCGCCTGAAGCCCTGTTCCCGTGACTATGTCTGCAAGGGTTGCCTGCAAGCGTGCATTTTCGAAAGGTTCATCTGCGCAGCATGGCCTGTGACCATTATTCTGAATTATTCTGTGCGGCCGCCTAACTCCCTGCTCGTTTTTGAAGCCGTGCCTTCCCCAATTTCCCTGCCTCCGTAAACTGCGCACCCTTACCTCAACAGAGTATCTTCCCATCAGCATGTCGCCAACGGTTGTTTGCAAGATTGAATGTCAAGAGGTTTCGCAAGCAACATGTCACATGATCATTAGGTTTGTGAAGGGGGGGGGTGCTCCCCGTCCCAACGCACCCGCTTTTTCCGTGGCCATGCAAGCAAGCTTCAAACGAGTACCACCCCATCACGTCATGTGCAAGACCTTGATCCTCAAGGCCAAAGCCACGTTCCTATAACAACCTTTACAAAGGTTAACTGCAAGAGCGCATTTATCCTGATATTTGATCATTTGGTTTGCAAATGATGGGGCTGCACCCCCCCCAAACCCTCCGCTCTCTGAGCCGTGCAAACTTTCCCTCAAGATCAATCTTTGCACAACAATGCTGCTGAATGTTACTCGCAAAAGTGTTTTTTCAAGACCTTGACCCCGGCAAAACATCATCCGATGATTGCTCTGTTGTTGCAAAAGGTTGCCACATGTTGCCAACAGTCGCCGGAATTGCATTTCATTCACAAATGGGTGGGGGTTGCCCCACCCCGAACCCCCCACTTCTTTTACGGCAGCGCAAGCTATTGCCGGATCGTCATTTGCTTGCAAAAGACCCTAAGCCCAAAACTCCGTTGCCACGACTATGTTTGCCAAGGTTGCCGGTTCCTCCAAGCAGCAGGAAATGTGATGGTGGGGTGGGCTGCGCCTCCTCAGCCCGCCCCTTTTACCCAAAACTTTTTCCATGACAATGTTTGCAGAACAGTGCTTGCAAGAGTGCTTTTCAGTAGGTTTGTCCGAGCAGCATGACATCTTGTCATTGGGGGCCCTTCACTTCCCAACCCCTGCGCGTTTACAGCCGCACAAGCTTACCTCAAAAGAGTATCTTCCCATCACCATGCTGTCAAGGATTGCTTGCAAGCGTGCATCTCAAGAGGTTCATCCGAGCAATATGACATGTGGTCATGTGTGTCCGGGCCATACAAATTTCACTCCCATGTGTGGTCTACATCATTTGCTCGCAAATCACGCTCTTGCAAAACCGTCTTTGCAGTTCGCCTCTTGGAAGCACTCTCAGGTGGAGCGTGCGCATCATTCAATTTAGGTTCACGCTCTCGCGTGGACAGCCCCTGCAATTTGCCTCTGGAGGCGTTCCGGCCACGCGTGAAACATCGGAGTCATCAGGCAGCCCCAGAAAAGGACCACACGGTCTAAAACACGAAGCAATGCACAAAAACCAATTGAAAAAACAACACTAAAACAACACCTGGCTCCCCAGCCATGGCCGCTACACATCCGACCACAGCTTTCAATGGCTTACCGTACTCTGAGCTCGGCTAGTTAGGTGTGCTTTGTAAGGTGTGCCTGCATTAGAGCCAGGAAACTACCTGTTGCCTTCTTATGATGTAAGTGTTCCTGGCAGAGTTTAGCTAGGCTAAGGTTGGATGTGAGCCTCGTGCAGCACCAGTGCCGTTTGCGAGGATTGGGAGCTGGTGGAGAACACAACGCGGCTGCTGCAGCCGCCGGGAAGCACTGAAGATTGACATTTGCAACTGCGGTCCCCCTGTACACCCTGCAAAAATAAAGACATTCGATAAACGGACCTTCACGATAAGGCAAACACGTGGAACACGAAGGCCGAGTTTCATACGTCTTAGTTTGTTTGCCCCATGTGGTAAAAGAGTTGACTACCTCACTGAATTTGCAGTCACAACAGATGCTTAAAGATCAGACCATTCGGCGCAGATGACCGAATATCCAGATGACCAATCCTCATACAATGAAGTCCCGAGCAGAACTTACAGTAATGCTGTCCTTCAATCTCATTAGTTCTGTGAGCTACCCAGGCTGCCCCAAGTAACACTCGTATTGCGCCTGGAAGGTACAACGATCCTTTTACGGTACCCTGGAAGCGTCGGAACGAGGTGAGTGTGCCCGTCCGGCGGCGTGAAGTCCAGGTGACTTGAAAAGCTCATGCGCTTCGAGGTGTTGTAGTTTTTCGGGCTGTTCGGAGACTCCTGCTAGCATGTAGGATGACTCTCGATTATGAGTTTCCAAATGTCCGAACAGTGCAGATTTTCGCTGCTAGTCTGAGCTGCTCTGGGATTATCACAGGTCTGCGTCTCCTCCCTTACAGACTTAGCATCCTAGGATTACTGGACTGTCGCAGGCTTTCCGGCTTCACAAGTAAGATCCGAGCAATTCATGCTTGGTCAGCTAGGCCGCAAGCTCAAAAACGTCGTTAGAAGTGGTGAAGGCTGCCTCGAAGATGTGATTCTTTGGCCTGAGAGCAGCAATCCCTCAATCTGTGAGGCTTTGAGCGAAGCTTCTGTAGGACTTATTCATGGGTCGTGGTGGCAATCCCAGATCAGCATTCGTTGGCCCTCAGCAGAGTTGGCAAGCGCAGAGGACCTCGTTGCCTGAGACTGCCAATTATTCTTGCAGATTCTACCACCTTTAGATCTCCAGCTGCCTTGCTTTAAGGTTTGCAGTCATGCGGGCAGTAACATGTTTGGCTTTAGGGTCATGATTCACTTTGATTAGTGCGTCTACTTCTCAACGCGTAGTCCCCTCGAGCCCAACTGAAGCGTGCGATTAGCACTTCAGTTTGACCCGCAGCAGTTCTGATGCAGACGGGCAGCAGAGGACCGACCTTAGATCTCTTGCTTGCCGAGCGGCTTGAAATTGAAAAAGAGGTCTGGCATTGCATGCTCCCTCCGTCCCTCCCTCACTCCCTCTCTCCCTCCATCCATCCATCCATCCATCCATCCATCCATCCATCCATCTGTCGGTTCATCCCTGCATCTACCTACTTGTCTCCTTCTCCCGTCTTTACACATCTCACAAACTGCGTTTCTGTCTGGCTCCCTCGCTCTTTCTGTACCTCGCTGTGCATCCGTCTGTCTGCTTGTCTGTCTGCCTGTCTACCTATCTGTCCATTTGTCTGTCGGTCGGTTTGTGTTTTGCTTCTTCAACGCGCACTATCAGTATCGTCTTGTCTTTGGGTCTTGTCTTTGGTTAGTAGAAGGTATTGGTTTGTGCTTCTCCACAAGCTGTCGTAACTAGGCGGTGCGGGACTGCAAGAAGATGCACATCGTTGGGACGCTCTGCCTTCAGAAGCCATGGATTCCCAGGCTCCCCGAAAGCCGTCAATGCCGCAGTTCCACACAGAGCATGGAGGCTGCAAGGGTGTGCCAAAGTTCTGCTACGGAAAAAGTTTCATGACCTTATGGTACACGTAGCAGTGATGGATGTGAAGAATGCGTGGAGGAGGTTGTACCTACATGCATATGTGGGAGTTGAGCTGATCAAGTTTCTCCTCTCGAATGTTGTTTGAAAGACAGACATCTGCTATGCTGAAATTCAGGCCAGCAAGTCTTAGCATGAAAGCTGCTCGGAACTCGTCCCCAACCGTTAGCCGCCATTTAGGATTCCCTGCTGAGTCGTGCATTATGCGGCACTTTGCACATGGATAATGCCAGCTGCGTAGGAATCTCGGCGTTGAAGGCTACTGTTAATCCAGACAGGTCGCAAAAGTGCTCCTTTGCAAAGGAGGTCAGCTGCAGTGTTTTCTTGAGCGTGGGGCTGCTAGCAATGCAAAGCTGTGCAAAGCCAAACACCACAAGTGGCACACCAGGCTCCAGTAGCTCGCACGATCCGGTTCGGCACCCAAGCTGGGGAAGGGCGGCTTCAGATACGCTAGAGGCCAGAGTGAGCTCAGTCCTGCTTTCGGGGGCCTAGACATGCAGCTGTTGAGGTTAGCGCTTTTTTTTTTCGGGATTTTCAAGCCTATCTCGGTTTGCTTGTACTGGCTGCAGAGTACCCTGACTTGTCCAGGTATGGGGTGCGATAGAGTCACAATGTTAGCGAGACGGGCAAAGATTAAATGCTTAGAACTCTCGTCGTGTGGCTTGACTTCTTTGAATTCGCAAGCGTTGCCTCAACTGACTCAAGCGATCCATGTACAGCTGTAGGCATTGAAGCCCTCAAACTGATAGCTCACAGCTAAGGATGTACACTAATTTTTCTGTGTCCCGCCGATTCCTTGGATGGCACTGTGGCTCAGCAAATCAGGTTCCGCCGGAGCCTCCGCGAAGCGGTAGTGACATCTTCAACAAGACGAAGATACCCGGCCGGGCTATGACCAGGAACAGGATCTCTTGGGAACAGGTCGTGGCAGTTCGGAATGGCTGGATGGATTAGATGATTGGCTGTTTGTTTGCAGAATCTGAAGCAGATCCAAACCATGGATTAAGTTGAATTGCTGGGTTCCGGCAAGGAAGGCTTCAACAGAACCTGCAGCGTCTTCTAGCAATTTCACAATCACAAGAGTCAGGAGATCTGTGGTATATCAGGGATTCACAAACTTTAGCTACTTGTCTGCTGAAGTTGCAGAAGGCTTGCTCAGCACTACACTGAGCAGCACAGTACATCACCATTAAGATTCGTGATGCCAAAGCTGGAAGCCGCAAGCAGCCCTCTGGAACTATCCTGGGAAGTCTTGGCTAAACGTCGCACATGTAAAAGACATGCGACGGACAGCCATTCATCAGCCGCAGACGGCCGCCCAAATGGCAAGCTTCATGTCCCAACCCTGATCTTGTGCCTGACATTTGTCTATGACTCTAGTCCATGACCATCAATGTCTACCGAGATGACTCACACATGGTCCCTGGATCCTGATTTCACTCTAAGATGCTGTTGCATTTGTTAGCCTGCACCTAAGGATGTGCAAGTTCCACCTGATCGGAGTCTGCATCAAGGCAGTGGGGCATGCTTCCGTTGTGTTCGGCAGTCTGGCGGATCTTTGGGGCTGCAAGTTCATCGCTATTAGACCTTGATTCAACAACATTTGGTGCTTTTGGGCTCGTTGATGTGGTTCTCAGGTTTTTTTTAACAGGTTATCCAGCAGAATGTTGCGTTGGGACAGCGAGTGTCACGAGCTTTTCAAGCCTCTGTTTAGGCACTGGGACAGAAGTCTACAAAGTGTCCAACTCACCTTTGGCCCTTAAGATGAACTGCCAAAGCTGAGATTGAATCAAAGCTCGTGCTGGGTTTCTGGACACATGCGCAGGAGCAGAGAAAGCGTGTTGGGTCACGGTATCCAGCAGGTGCAAATCAAGCTTTTCAAGTTCATGTATCCGCGCAACATCCCAGGGCAATGCCTGTATGTTCGCACACGACCCGGAAGAGCTGAAGCCTGTTCCAGCCGGGGAGCACAGTCGCCTGGGTCTTGGGGTTGAAGCTTTGTGTTGCCTCGTTTGAAATATTTTCAGCTTTGCGGGCTTGAGTTCGGAAGCATTGCAATATTTCAGTATGGCGGGGGGGACGACGCCAGCCAAGCAAATAATATCGTCTTGATGAATGAGCCAACCCCGAAATCTGTTGCGCAATTAAAATCGATAAAGACCTGAAACCCGATAGTAGCCTTGAAGCTGGTATTCGTCTTCGTAGCTGTGTTGGTACTGGCAGTACTGTTAGCATTAATGGCTCCGTACACCTAATTAAACCAAGTAGATATCTGTTCTAAACCAAATAAGCATTGTTTAAATTCACTGAAAACCTATAGTTGAGAATTCGATGAAAACCTAATTCAAATCAATTGAAATCAAGTACAATCTACTTATCATCTCATCAAGATCAACTTGAGATCTACTTAAAATCACCTCAGATTCACCTGACGCCAATTGAAATCAGACTCAAGTATCCGTTGAAACCAAATGAAAATCTTATGAAACGCGCTGTAAAATCCAACCTATCCAAAACCCAACAAAATCCAGCTAGAATCAGTTGAGGCCTCATTAAGATAGATTGAAATCCAACAAAGATTAAACGACAATCTAGTTAAAACCAGTCAGAATTTGATTGGAGTGAATTGCGAACCTCATTAGCATCAGTTAGGATCTAACTCAAATCAGTTGAAATACAGTTAACACCAGTCTAAAACTCCATTGCAACCAACTGGAATCTAATTTAGATCTATTTCAAAACCAATCCAAAATCAATTGGAATCTTAGTAAACCAATTGAGATCCGAGTAAAATCAAGTGGAAATCTCATCAGCAAATTACAATCCGATCTAGTATCAGTTCAAAAGCAATAAATACAAATTGACAATCAACTGAAAACGAACTGGACATCCAATTCAAATAGATCAAAATGCAATGTACACCGTTAAAATCTAATTGGAATCAATTTTATAGCCAAATAATACATGCCATCCTGGTGAAAATTTAGGGGGCTGGAAAATGTGTATTTATTTTGCCAAAAGCACGTGCGTAAAGTGGACTACGCTCCACAACAATTGACGGATCGAATGTCTTCGTACAATGCCAAGTAAACAAAGCAGCTGGGGTTTCTGAGTTTACGGATTGCAGATTCTCTAATTTTTACCCATGGTTCCTTGGCCGCGCGAGCCAGTGTCTAAACTTTGGTGAATTGCCGACCTGATCTGCTGACTACAGGGTCCGCCCATGCGTTCGTTATGCGAGAGAAGGGCTTGATTCTAATTAGTCTTGTTCTCAGAGAGTGCATCTGTTGGGATATGCGAAGACACCAGTTCAAAATAGTCAGAGGGTGCTTACGCCATTAAAGCCTAGGGTCTTGGCATGGCCCAGCCGGAGATTTTGTCGTAGTGCAATGCCAAAGGAGATCTGGGTGTGAATAAAACCAGTGACTAGACAAAACTTGGCAGTAAAGTCGGCACGCGTTCATTGGTTTTCTTGGTGCCCCATTTCCATCTGCCATCACATATGAAATCGTTCGAAGTTCATAGCATTTCGCGCCTGTGCAGAAACAAACAACCCCGAAGGCGGATGCCATCGCACTCTCATTTCGGATTCTCTAATAGCCGGCCTTTTAGGTAAAGGCTCTGGTCTAAAGCTCTGGAAATTCAATCCGTTAAGGCCTGAGGCTCAAGGCCCTTTAGCTTTAAAGGATATCATCTTCCAAAAAAAGAAGTAGTCTCA